ACCACACACATAAACTATTACTTTCCCACTGCATTACAAATGAGACAGTATCTCTTACGTTTCGTCTGCATGTTATCTACAGACCTTCAAAGTTTAGGACAAAACCAAGCACCTGTCTCTATCCTACAATTTGTATCTTAACAAATACAAATACCTAAATATTCCTACTTTAGTGTTATGTTATCAGAAAATATACTGAGAATTATATTTGAATATGTGTCTATAATTCAAATATAACATTACCACTCAAATTAAGAGGGGCCTAAAGTGGAGGTAGTAGCCTAGTAATTCAACAGGCTAAAACTGCATGCCTCTTAATATAATATAAATATTTATTTCAGCATTAAGACCACAAGTTTAGTCAATTTAATCCTTTTTCAGTAAGACAAGATCATCCAAACACACTACCTGTAAGGAAGGGAGTAAAAAGGGAGAAAACTGCACAAAGCAAGCTAGGGATGGATGACGCCTGGCAATGAAAGTCGTTTTCAAAGACCATTAACTATCAACTGCTTTACTCAGGACTTTGATTAAATAAGAATATACATCCTATGTAAAAAGGGATGTCTATTTGAGTGGGACAGAGTTTGGAATAAAAATGTGTTGTATGAACTATAAAGAAGACCCAAACCACTATGTACAATTAGGTGTCTGACTCGTAATACTATATATATGCCTTTTAAATGACTAGTGAATAAATACTCAAAAAAATTGGGGGTAGGAACAAAACCATTTTCATTTAAAAATATAGATTCCAGAAACTGAGATTGGTGGCCTATATGAATAGAAAAAAAAATTCTTGAAGAAAATTCATATTGAGCACTCTTTTAAATGGATTCTAGCAATGTTATTATACATTTCTTATAATATATTTTATTTATCATTTCTCTGAAAGGTGCTAGATTTTTATATTAGTAAGAAAGTTTGCTTTTACTCTGTCATATCTCTGGTGAGCAGACGCTCTGGTATTAATGTAAATCGTTGATTTAATTTTTAGCTTTCTTGGTTTGCCCCTCACCTATCTAGAAAATGATTTCTCTGGTGATAACTAACACATCATGCTAATGAGAGAATCTAATGCACAATAGAAAAATGTCACTACTAATAATATTTGCATGAAGTTAAATAAAGCAACTGTAAGAGAATGTCAGACAGTTGTTCTTTAATAAGACACAGTTTCACAATGAAATTATGTTGTTAATTTTGTTACATCATCGGGTGAATCCTAAATTACTACATAATGATGCACAGAGTCATTTATAATTCTAACTTAGTATTTCATTCAAGTATGAAAAAAGACCTTATTAAGGGATCTACATTTTATTTGAAACAGGTTAAATATACCTCGCCAATAACAAAAGGTAAATGTCTCTAGTAACATATTAAATGTGGGCTATAGCTATTTACCTGTATGGTTTCCTTTCTGAAAAGATTTTTAAATAGACTGGACTATTACATCCCTTGAGATAGCTACAAGAATTTTATTTACTATTCTCTCAAATGCATAGAATATTTATACAAATAGAAAAATTGCCTCAAGTGTGATTAAAAAAAAAAACTTGAAAAAGCAAGCCTTATTTTTTGCTTTTAACAGTACCTTGTGAAACTAAAATAGGCAAAATAAGGTTCATTCTCCACCTGTCACTGATCAAACTGATCCAAAGAAGAACTCCCTTTACACAAGTGTCATACCCTTTAAGGTTCTCAAATATTCAGCCATATACATAGAAATAATTTGAGAAAATCATACTTCAATATAGAAGAAAAAATGTACAAGCACAGGAAACTGTAGTCAAATAGCCTTAACTTGAACTTTAGGGGCACATACTTAATGCCACTAAATCCAAATTGGCTTCAGACTATGATGTTTGTTACTATTAGACAGAATGAAAGATATACATTTAAGCAGATCCAACTTTGTTCATATGAAACAAAAGACAAAGATTTTTGTATCCCTACTTCCCAGTTTACTTATAGAACACATAAAACCAGATTATTAAATTTCAGTATTCATGAGACATTTCCCACAAGTTTTTCTGTAGTTAAGTACTGGTGGTAAATTATCTGTAACTCAGTTTTGAAAGCTTTTATTAGCAGCCCTACTAGTCAGACTTTTCAAATGTCTAAATAATCAGGAAAATATTAGTTTTTATACTATTAAAGAAAACTTTATAAGAAATATAACCCAATAAATTTTATTCATTTCATAAGCTAAGTAAATATTACTTAGAAATAAAATAATCATAATCTAGAGAAACCTCTTTATGATGCCTCAGAAATGAGATATACAGAATTCTACATATTTGATTAAATTGGAAAAACTTTTACCTGTAACAAAAGCTGGCTTAACTGTATGTATTGAAAGTAATATTCATTGAAATGGCCGGCTTCAAGAGATATCAGAGATATAATTTCACTAAGTCTCTCTCTCTCTCACACACACACACACACGCTGAATCAGCATTGCTGATGAATTATAGGTAAGAAAAACAAACATATTAAATATGAACAGCACACATACTTTCACTTACATAGTTTGAACTTGTTTATGTAATATTTATACAAACTAAAATGTCATCTTGAAGAGAAAAAACATGTAAGCTCATACCCTCTCTTACATACTTTCCAAAAATGCACAAGAGGCAAACATTTAGTGACCATGATAGAAAAACGTGAGTTGGGGGGGTAGGAGTGATTGCTAACTACATCAAAACCAAAAAATAAACATATTTAAAACTGTGATTTCTCTCCCTTTGTTGTACTACTTTATTTCATAAATAGCATAATATTATATACTTTCAATAGCATCAATTAAGCATAAATTAGTTCCCTACATTTCTATTCTCTCCATATAGTCACTGATGCTCACCATTACACATATATGCACACACAGGTACACACAAAATATCCACACAGATAGCTGGATCAAAGACATCATAAATTTTCCTAATTCTGACCCATCATTTATATTATTTACTTTTATTTGTTTTTTAGCTAAAATGTTTTCCATGACAAAATCTCCTTAGATTCAAATCTACTTGGAAATGGGCTAGTGCCAAACAAGCAATCTAACACCATCTATGTGGCTCAATAGCCATTTATCAATTGATCATTA